GAGGTAAAATGTTCAAACTTGGTGTAGGTGTTTATTAGGTCAATGCCTTGAAGGAGTGTGAGTGCTTAGGGTAAGTAGAGATAAGCAATTTAATTGGTTGATGCATTGGGACACGATAACTTTAGTTCGAATTAAGTGAGAGAGAGATGGGGTTTAACATCCACTCGACACAAACTATTTCAATAATTCGCTTGCGCGTAGGGGTCTTTAGCGGTGGGAGGAAACCGGAAGACCAAGAGACCCTACTCCTTGTCACGTACAACCGGGGAATTGAAACCCCGCCAGTTGACTTAATGACAGACCGTATGATACAACGCAGCACGCACGTGCTATCCATTCAGCCATCCAACCCTCCTCCAATTAAGTGAGAGTGATGAAACTTGGTATATAGTTTCATTACATCAATACCTTGACTAAGTTCGATATTGAACATTTTCTACTCAGGGTAAGCAATTGATTGGCCGAGACTTTGGAACACAATAACTCTCCTTCTTATTGAGCTAGAATGTTCAAACTTGGTGTAGATGTTTATGAGGTGAATGCCTTGATAGAGTGCGAAGATGTTCTAATTAAGTGAGAGTGATTAAACTTGGTGAATTGTTTCCTTACATCAATACCTTGAATAAGTTCGATGACGAGAATTGTCTGCTTAGGCTAAGGAGCAATGAGCATTTTGATTGGTCAAGATTTAGGAACATAACAACTCTGCTTCTAATTGAGGTAGAATGTTTAAACTTGATGTAGATGTTCATCTTAACTGAGTTCAATGATTAACATATCAAACTAAAGCTAAGCATAGATAAGTAATTTCCTTGGTCGATGCTTTGGGACAAGATAACTTTGATTCTATCTGATAGATAGTGATGAAACTTAGTGTATAGTTGATAATCAGTTTGATTGCTCGATACTTTTGAAAAAAATAGATGTGCGATTAATTAATGTGTCATCTATTTATTTGGGGATTTCGGCGGGGGACATCAGCCTCACTGTTGGCTTGTTGTTAATATTTTGTCTGTAAATACTCTACAGGTTCCAATTATTAACACGATGACTGCCGACTACGAGTATACTGGTAGTCATGGTTTCCGCGCCTGTGCCGCTACGAGTATACTCGTAGAAAACATTATTGACTTCGTATATTAATATAAATCCCCGGCAATGGTGATGAACTGTATTATATGATGCGGCACTGAAAAAGAACGTTTGCTGGAGGTCTCAGGTTATGATGTAGGGCTAACTTGGCCAATTACAGACGGCAGACTGAGTGTGACATTGCAATACAAATACCTATTAGAATAACTCAATTTTTATTTGTTTGACCAACTTGATTTTTGTCTATACAAATGAACTGATGCCAGTACAATCATTACAATTGTCCAGTAGTCACAATTTAGATCCTACTGATTTCAATGATAGTCTTTGAAACATTGACCAAAAACAAAGAGCGGGCTTGACATTACATTCCGCACAGTAGAATCATGTCTCCTTGCGTACTTTCTTTGCGGTACAGACTCTGCAAGGCTTAGTTGGGTGGGTTTTTTTCTCGGTTGGTGGGATATAATCTAAGTAGTGTAGAGGTCTAGCATCTCTCTGATGACCAGGTGCATCTTGGATCTCTTCAGGGCCAGCTAGTCGTTGTAGCTTCTCCAGGGTATCTTCTCCGATGAGATGCTTGACAATGGCGTCTCTCATCTGCAACATTGTCTTCTTTTCTCTGTTGTTATCATTGTACAGTATCATTGAATTCAGTATGGTGATCTCTAGGACGTGCAACCCGAGCTTCTTGTACCAACGTATTGTTTTCCTCAATCCGCTGTAGTATGACAGCATTTGGTCCGACCTGTCAATTCCAGACATCCCTTGGTTATAATCACGCACCAGGTTTGGATTTAGAGATTCCTTGCCATGGCGATTCTGCACTTGAATCATCTCAATGCGATGCATATTAGAAATGGTCAAGACATCTCGTTTATCTTTCCACTTGCAGACTACTACACAGCCGGATCTTTTTCAAATGTGTTCTCCTTTCTTCAGCTTCTTATTGATGACATCTGTGGGATTCTCTTTCCTGTCCTGTCTCAGTGTTCCACAGATGTAGGTTTTTCGTGTTTTAAGTTTCTTGGTCAGAGACACCGAATTGTAGAAATTATCAGTAAAGACAACATTTTCTTTTGTCAAGGTAACCCTGCAGAAGCTTCATCACTATCGCTAGTCTGGCCAAGATTTTCAGGATCCGCTGTTGCTGTTCCATCGTATACCTGCACACGAAGTACAAGTCCTCGTGATTCGCACAGCTCATAGAGCTTGATGCCGTATTTATGTTTCTTGTTTTTTATATATTGGCGGAAAACAAGACACCCTCTCCATAACACCATAGACTCATCAATGGCAAGTTCATTTCCTGGATAATAGATCCTTTCCATGGTGTTGTTGAATGCATCCAAAATAATGTTATTATGATAGGTGTACAGCCTATTGGTGTACAGCTATATAACAAAATACATGTAATTAACAATGAACGGATATCGCAAATTACATACACATACATGTACACATGCATACATATACAATAAGCCTACATATACATATACGTACACACATACACACATATACATATTATTTTTCAAGCTTTTCGATGAAGGAAATGTGTGTAACTTGTTGTTTTACTGACCTTGTGGAGTCACTAGACGAAATTGTGGGGTCTCCCGTATCTTCAGAGTCTTGAGTTTGCACCACCAGCCCCGTCATCAATGTCATTATTTTCGCTATCCTCTGAATCTGGGTCTGAAGGGTCATAACTACCACTACTATCATCAGATACATGATCTGCAGTATCGCTATCCATGAGCATTTTCACCGAGCATGCGAGCCTTGAGCCCGCCATTTTCACTGAGCATGCGCGACCTTGGAAGCTTACTAATATCGAAAGCCATCAATAACACGAAAAGAAATAGTACCGATAATATAGCTATTCAATGTTAGTATCTCGGCATCTCGTGGAAATCGGCATTGGCCAGTGCCACACTACGAGTCGTATGTCGGCATCCGGTAAAAATGGCCATTAGCCAGTGCCGCACTACGAGTCGTATGCTGGCATATGAGTTAATACCGGAAATGGTCGGCACTTCAAACAGGGGTCGGCAGCGAACGTGTTAACAGATTTTGTTCAATTTCGGCATGATCCATCATAGGGTTGTAGTTATTTATATTGGTTCATTTCCACCCCCTAGGGGCAGAGCCACCGCCAATTTTTGTGTTTTTTGTCTACAGACTGGAATTCTGAATGGATCATCTTGGAACTTGGCATATTTATTCCATATACCATAAGGACAGCAACTATTTATTTTGGCAAAACAAACCCATCGCCAAGCCTTCTTTACCTCTTGTCATCTTGCAGTCGATGCAAGAGGGGGCAACTGCTTATTAAACACAAGCCTTAACTTAGTTTCTCACATTTATGGCCACTAATATAATGTCTAACATCGTTTAACTTTTTTTATAATAAAGGTATTTTACAATTACATTGACAGTTTAATCACTCACCAAACAGCATCCGGAACTCCATGAATGATCAAATGTATTTGATATTCATGTCCATGAATCCCGTGCAATTTTCGCGCCAAAGTTTAACCTCATTTACTACGCCAGTAGTGCATGGAACCGTACATGGTAATAAGATTCCCAGCGTTGATTTGCTGAGAAATGAGGGTGATCTATTGTTATGCATAGTCATCGGAAAATTCCATATTCGCTGTGAATTTCAAAAGTTGTTCTTTGTGTATAGAAATGGTTATTATTTTTATATATAGCTAATAATGAATATATCGACAAATGACTGGCACCTTGTATTTCTGTACTTACAGAGAATAGTTTGTGATATCAAGTATTACGGGGTTATCCAAATTACTGGTAAATGCGTTAATTGCTTGGTTCATGTCTAATCCATAACAATGTAAGACAATAATTTGGTGATTATGATCAGGCCAGTCACATGGTAATTGGACCGTCACTAGAAGCTTGTCAACTGGTGGTGTGTATTGATAGTGCTAGATTGTACACACAGTGAGATATTGTATAGATAATGTTTATACTATGTGTAGTGCCTGTGATGTCACCAGCCAATCAACCGGATTAAGGTCGTAATTGAAAAATTGAAAAGCGTTTTGGCATATCGGATACTTAAAGCGAGAATTTCATATTTTCTAAGAAAGTCAAAACATAATTATTTCTATGTCTTTTGCTCAATAGGTTATCAACTCACTATTATACGATCATGGGCATTATTTCCCACCCTTAAAAATCATTGACAGAGGAAATAATAACACGATTACCTCCCTTGTTTTCATATCACCTCCATGGAATAGCTATGATCAAACGTTTGAATTTGAAGCTGAAAATGATATTTTTGCCAATTTCTCAGCTGGCAATAGTGAATTATAGGATTAACAGGATTATTCTTTAACAAGGTAGGACTGTTTATGGATACCATCTATTTTAAGGCTTTATTTTAAAAAAATTTTAAAAATATAACTTAAAAATATGAAATTGTAGCTTTAATTGTTAACAGCAGAATTAATTTTAATCAGATTGTTGTGAACATGCCGTAAAGTGGATATAGTAACCACTGGCTATACGTACATGAAATTTAGATTTTTTGCCTTGTTTGGTCTTAAAGATCTAATGTTTTCTGATAATTACTTCATGGGTTACTACTCATGTGTTGTAAATGTTCACATTACTGACAAAAGAAGAAAATATGTGACAACACTTGTTGACTGCCTGAACGATTTAGCTGCTGTGGATGTATGTTTCGTTGTCTTGTTCTCTGTCCATCTCTTGCTAAATATGGGCGTATATTGCTTGGCAACCGCTTGGGTTTTTTTTTTCTGCTATACCTTCTGGGTTCTGACCACTTGACATTGTACTAGTATAAAAGAATGAAAATTTTCTATACTGGAACAATCAGAAATAATTTGTGTTATTTTTATAACTATTTATAGGTCCAGGTTTAGCATTTGTTGTATTTCCTGATGTTGTAACAAGATTACCTATATCCCCTTTATGGTCTTTTCTCTTCTTCTTTATGTTGATTACATTGGGTATGGGTAGTGAGGTATGTATATTTACATTCTTTTTTATACGCCCACATTGAAATGTGGTCGTATATTGTCGTTTCCCCTGTTTGTCCGTCCGTGCTTGTGCACACTCTAGATAGGGGTTTCAGGTCAAAGTTTTAAATGGCAGAAAAATTTTTTTAAAAAATATTTTGTGAAAATATACATAATATGCTACCTCAAAAATTTTATTTCATTAAAATATTCTAATTAGATCCAAAGTTATGGAATTTTAAAATCTGAGATCGTCGTCAATAATGTAACCAAAATGCTCTATAGCAGTCAATGCGTGTCATGGCACCAAAATAAGTGCTTTTCAGTCATATCTGAGTGACGTCATAAGCAGTATTTTTCCTTCAGAATCGATAATACCAATTTTAAAACTGAAATCCGCATGCTATAGTCAGCTAAGATTTATTAAAATCGTAATAATTTGAATGATAATATGTCAAATATTTATAATCTTGATGATGCCACAAAAAATGTAGGCTATATTTAGTTGAAATTTAGCAAATTTCAGTCAGTAAAACAGATAAATCTTGTTTTCTACGGCTGTAATTGTCTTATCTCGGAGTATCACGCACCATAATAATCACAAAAATGTTATCTATCGTTTGATTGGCTCTATGTAGAAACCCCCGGAAACTAAGGTACGAATTCACCAATGAACTGAAGTGGGTCTTGAAAGAGCTGATGTAAACCTCTCTTTTGATGGAGCGCGCACTATACTATCATCCAGGTGGTTCCAATCAATAATTGTCTTTGGGAAGAAAGAGTGTTTATAAAGTTCAGTTTACATGCAACTGTTTTAAAACATTTGGAATTGTTTGTTACATGATTTTCAACTATATTTTTATACGCCCATATTTTATGTGGACATATATTGTCGTCGCCCCTGTCCATCTGTCTGTCCGTCCATCCACAATTGTTTGTGAACACTCTACAGGTCACAATTTTTATCCGATTTCAATGAAACTTAAAATATAGGTTTATCACCCAAAGATCTCGGTTCCTTTCGATATTGGCATGTATCCGACTGTAATTTCATGGATTATGGCCCTTGATTGTACGAAAAATCACGTTTTTTGCTTGTGAACACTATAGAGGTCACAATTTTTATCCAATTTGGTTTAAACTTGAAATGTATGTTTATAACCCACAGATCTCGGTTCCTTTCAATATTCGCGCATATCGGACCATAACTTCCTGAATTATGGCCCCTGATTGTACGAAAAATCCCGTATTTTACTTGTGGACCCTATAGAGGTCATAATTATGATCCGATTTAAAAAAAAAGATTTTATTATATCACTGTTACACCCTAAGGACGGCTGAGTTCGAATTTCGTGAAAATCGGCCCAAAACTGACAGACAAAATGGCCGCCCTTTGTTCTCAAATAGTGTAAAAATATGGTATATCAAGGTTGTGGACCCTGTAAATGTCACAATTGCTGATAATTGCTGCCAGAGTTATGGCCCTTGATCACTTTGAAAAATCTTGTTACGCTCTAGAGGCTAAATTTATCATCCGATTGACTTCAGATTGATACACAGAGTTTAAGGTCTTGAGACGAACAAGTATATTGATTTTCAATGAATGTTAAAAGTTTCGTATACTAAAAGTTAGCATGGGGCAGAACTTTATAAAAACCAAACAAATTCTAATGGTTTTTAAACGCCCACATTTTTATAGGCCCACATTGTCATGTGGACGTATATTGTCGTCGCCACTGTCCGTCCGTCTATGTTTTCTATCCATCTCTCGAAAATGTGGGCGTATCCTGCCTGGCAGCTGCTGGTCATGTGGACGTATGTTGTTGTCGCCCTTGTCCGTCCACAATTGTTTGTGAACAGTCTACAGGTCACAATTTTTATCCGATTTCAAAGAAACTTGAAATATAGGTTTATCACCCTAAGATCTCAGTTCCTTTCGATATTGGCAAGTGAATTATTGAAATAAAATTGAACCATGTTTAAATCATGAAATGACCTAGTTTGTGTCGAGTGGACGTTAAACCCCATTTCTCTCTCTCCCTCCCTGATTGTAGGAAAAATCATGTTTTTAGCTTGTGAACACTGTAGAGGTCACAATTTTTATTCGATTTGGTTTAAACTTGAAATGTATGCTTATAACCCAAAGATCTCGGTTCCTTTCGATATTCGTGCATATTGGAACGTAACTTTCTGAATTATGGCCCCTGATTGTACGAAAAATCACGTTTTATGGCTTGTGGACCCTATAGAGGTCATAACTTTTATCCGATTTAAAAAAATGTTTTAGTATATCACCGTTACTATGGAAGGATAACGTTGCCAATATTATTTCATTGTTCACGGTGCAAACTGCAAATGTCAGTAGTTTAAAATACGTATTTTAGTTTTACAATTTCCATTGCTCAACAATACCAATGCCACAGTGTTAAAATACAGAATACACTTTTCAATAATACAAAATACAGTAGAATAGTTATTTTGCACATTACACTTCTGCATTCTGCATAATAGACAAATGCATAATAGAACCTTGCATAGTAGAACATATACCTTATATGGGATCTACGACGAACGTCATTTGCATACGGAAAAAAGTCCGGACTATGACGGAAATTAATGATTTACGGGATAAAGCCATAAGGTTGAGGTCATTAGAAGGGGACAGTACTCGATTTTGTTAGTCTTCAATGTCCAGGCTCTATTTGGTGAAATAAAGATCCTGGAGCCACCAAAGCTAGTTTAGAAGTCATTGCGTGCGCAGTGAGCCTACCCTAACCCGATTCCCCCACATATTTAGTACGTTTACGGTAATATATCTCGAAAAGCCAACATAGTAGGCTTCGGAAATTGTGCAGTCTAGTAGTTTATTTATCCCTTGATTCTGTGAAATAAATACATTTTGTCACTAAAGCTGGTTTGGGTTCTTTTTGATGCAGCGTAGGCGTACCCCTTGTTTATTGTACCCACGAACCTCGCCTCGAATCCTGATGCTAGGAACTTTTCGGTGGTATAACTCGATACGCCATCATAAAAAGTTAATGAAATTTGGCATGTTCATACCTTATGCACCTGTCAATTGGGTGAAATAAAGATCCTGGAGCCACCAAAGCTAGTTTAGAAGTTAGGCAGTGAGTCTACCCTAACACGATTCCCCCAAATTTTTAGTACGTTTACGGTAAAATATCTCAAAAAGCCAGCATAGGAGGCTTCTGGATTTTTGTATTCTAGTAGTTTATTCAACCCTTGACTCTGTGAAATACAAAACAGTTTGCCACCAAAGCTGGTTTGGGTGCTTTTTGATGCAGCGTGGACGTACCCCTTATTTATTGAACCCACGAAACCCGTCTCGAATCCGGGTGCTAGGTACTTTGCGGTGGTATATCTCGATACGCCAACATAGAAAGTCGATTTGGTCAAATAAAGATCTTGGACCCACCAAAGCTAATTTAGAAGTTATTGTGTGCGCAGCGAGCCTACCCTATCCCGATTCCCTCACATATTTAGTACGTTTACGGTAATATATCTCTAAAAGCCAGCATAGGAGGCTTCTGGATTTTTGTATTCTAGTAGTTATTCATCCCTTGACTTTGTGAAATACAAAACATTTTGCCTCCAATGCCAGTTTGGAGTGCTTTTTGATGCAGTGTGGACGTACCCCTTGTTTATTGCACCCGCGAACCCAGCCTCGAATCCAGGTGCTGGGAACTTTGCGATGGTATAACTCGATACGCCAACATAGAAAGTTAATGAAAATTGGCCTGTTCATATCTTATCCATCTGTTGATTTGGTGAAATAAAGATCTTGGGAGCCACCAAAGCTATTTTATAAGTTATTGTGTGCGCGATGAGCCTACCCTCAACCGATCCCCCCATGGTTTTAGTATGTTTACGGTAATATTTGTCCAAAAGCCAGCTTAGGAAGCTTCTGAAAGTTTGTATTTTAGTAGTTTATTCATCCCTTGATTCCATGAAACAATAAAATGGCCACCCTTCGAAACTTGAAATGTAAGTTTATAACCCAAAGATTTTGGTTCCTTTCGATATTTGTGCATATCGGACCGTAACTTCCTGAATTATGGCCCCTGATTGTACGAAAAATCGTGTTTTTAGCGTGTGGACCCTATAGAGGTCATAATTTTTATCCAATTTAGTATATCACCGTTAAACTCGAAGGATGGCTGAGTTCGAATTTCGTGAAAATCGGCCCAAAATTGACAGACAAAATGGCCGCCCTTCGTTCTCAAATAGCGTAAAAATATGGTATATCAAGGTTGTGGACCCTATAGAGGTCACAATTTTTATCCGATTTTGTTGAAACTTGATATGTAAGTTTATAACTGAAAGATCTTGGTTCCTGTCGATATTCGCGCATATCGGACCATAACTTCGTGAATTATGGCCTCTGATTGTACGAAAAATCATGTTTTTAGCTTGTGGACCTTATAGAGGTCATAATTTGTATTCGATTTACTAAACGTACTATAATATCACCGTTAAACCCTAAGGACGGCTGAGTTTGAATTTCATGAAAATTGGGCCAAAACTGACAGACAAAATGGCCGTCCCTCGTACTCAAATAGTGTAAAAAATATGGTATATCAATGTTGTGGACCCTCTAGAGGTCAAATTTTCTTTTGATTTTGATGAAACTTGAAATGTAAGTTAATAACCCAAAGATCTTGGTTCCTTTCGATATTCGGCATATCGGATAGTAACTTCCTGAATTATGGCCCTTGATTGTACAAAAAATCGCGTTTTTAGCTTGTGGTCCTTGTAGAGGTCACAATTTTTATCTCATTTAAAAAAAATGTGTGAATATATCACCATTACACGCTAAGATCATGGATCCATTTGATAATCGGGTAACTTAACTTCCTGGATTATGGCCCCTAATTGTTCGAAAAAATGGCATTTTTAGCTTGCCGGATTCTTTGCTAAAGGTCACAATTTTTTTTCCGATTTTAAAAACCTTTTAAATATTTCACCATTCCACCATAATGAAGGT